CATCGTGAGCCTCCTGCTTCAGCCTGAGCACTGGCATTACAAGCATGTACCACCATGCTTGTTTTAAAAAAAGAAAAAAAAATTAAGGCAAAGTTTAGTGTGGCTTTATTATTTCATACTTCACAAAATGTAACACATATATGACCTGAGTTATTATCTCCATTATAAGCTAGTGAGGGCACAGATTAGGTGTTACTATTTCCATGTTAACAGTGGGGATGTAAGACCCAAGGTCTTACTTCCACTCCGTGGAGCTTGAACAGCTGAAAGGGCCTCCAACATGCTCGGCCTATAGCCCAGTGATTGTTCCAGGTGTAAGACCTAGGGCCTTACTTCCAGGAGCTTGACGAGCAGCTAGAATCACCCAGGAAGGAACACACCGGACTAGTTGGAAAATAGACCTTTATTAGTCTGGACAGATGGCACTCCCGGAGCCAAGTAGCTCAGAGAGGCGCCAGCTCAGGGGCTGAGGTCTTTTTTCTACGGGGATAGGTAGGGTGGGGGTCTATACTCAAAATGCTTACAGAATGTCCCAAGGTTTTCAAAACATTCCTTCTGAGCAGACAAGAAGTGAAACAATCTTTATATATTTACCCAGAACTACTAAATGTTCACCTGTTAATTTACATTAATCACAGTTAAGACTAGGAACTTACTTAAGATCACAAAGTTATGCAGTCCCACAGGGAGATCCCCTTGGAAGGGTATTTGACATTTCCATAGCTAGGGAGAGGGGTGGCTACCCCCGCAGTCTCTCAGTCTATGGTGGCATCCTTGTGATGAGATGACTCGTCCTTTCTGATCCTTATTGGCTCCGTGGCCTGGCCACTTGTGCCCTGTGCTCAGCACTGCCACCTCCTTATTTCTGCACAAGATGTCTTGCAGGACCCCACAAGCTTCCTCTGTCAATCATGCTCCTAATTTTGGAGTCTCACTCAGGGACCAGAGATTCTCCTGGATGCCCTCTTGGGACTCCACAGAAAACTCAGAATTGCTGCGTCAGCCTCCTTTACTTAGCAAGGTGAAAAGAATTTAACTGTCACAGTGGGTTGAGTTCTGACAAACTCATACACCCCCTGTCACCCACATCCTGTCAAGCTACAGAACATTTCTAGCTTCTCAGAAAGTTTGCCTTCCCAGACAGTACTCTCTACCTGAGGCAGCTGCTATTTTGATCTCTCTCCCACTTATTTTCTTTCTCTCCTCCTTCCTTTCTCTCTCCCTCCCTCCCTCCCTCCCTCTCTTTACTTTGAAAAAGGTTTCACTATGTAGTCCAGGTTGGCTTGGAACTGCAGCAATTCTTCTGCCTCAGACTCCTGAGTGCTAGGCATCCACCACTACACTTGGCAACTGTTTTGATATTTTACTCAGTGAGAAATTTTAATTGTAGTACCAGGAATTGAAGCCAGGGCCCTCATGCATGTAGAGCTCTACCAGTAAACTATATTCCCAGATCTCCCTATATTGCTCAGGCTGGCCTTGGATTTTTTTTTTTTTTTTGTACCAGGGATCAAACTCAGGACCTTGCTTGCAAGGAAGACCTTGAACTTTTGATGCTCCTGCCTCAGTCCCCTGCGTAGCTGAGTAGTGGGGGTGAGGGGGTGGGGGCTGGGTGGAAGTGTGGGAGAGAGATGGCTTTTGCTAAGTATTCTTCCTAAGCTATTGTTTATGCAGGGACCTGGGCCTGTTAAATGGGGGAGGAGAGGAATGACACAACAACAAAGAAATAACTTCCTTCGTTTCTACTTGCATTTTAGCTAAAGGTTCCCTTTCCTTGGAACAGCGGAGGCTGTGGTCTTGGTCCAGCTTCAGAGAGAGAAATGGAGGGTGACATATTAAAGAAAGGGATATCATCCATATACCCACATAGATTTCTTATCTCAACCTGCCAAAAACTTCATTGTTGGTGCTTTTTCCAAAGCCCTAATTATTGGAATTTCTAAGCCTCTATCCTCCATCTTGTTTCAACTGAAAAAAACTCTGACCTCTGACTTTTGATCCAATTGATACATTCATAGAACAGATAATATGAAGTTGTGCTAAGCCCAGAGGTGGTGGTAAAACATTAACACAGTATCCCCAGTCCATCCCTGAGTTATTGTTTGGTGGAGAAAATCAACATACTCACAGCTAATTAGTATCAACTCTAAATCAAATCTTTCCTCCTGGAGCCGGGCATGGTGGCACTCACCTTTAATCCCAGCACTCGGGAGGCTGAGGCAGGAGGATCACTGTGTGTTCGAGACCAGCCTGGGCTACACAGTGAGTTCCAGAGCCCTCAACTACTCAGAGGTGGTGGTAAAACATTAACACAGTATCCCCAGTCCATCCCTGAGTTATTGTTTGGTGGAGAAAATCAACATACTCACAGCTAATTAGTATCAACTCTAAATCAAATCTTTCCTCCTGGAGCCGGGCATGGTGGCACTCACCTTATATCCCAGCACTCGGGAGGCTGAGGCAGGAGGATCACTGTGTGTTCGAGACCAGCCTGGGCTACACAGTGAGTTCCAGAGCAGCCTCAACTACATAGTGAGACCCTGTCTCAAAAAAACCACCCCCCCCAAAAAAAATCTTTCCTGAGTTCTCTTTCTTGGTGACTGGGACCAACTACTCACTTAAAACTCCAGAACCCTTCAAGCCGTCCTCCTCCTTCTCTCACTACTCCATGACTGAACCACCCAGCCACCGAGCCTTGGGTCTCTCCTGTAGTTCTCAGGTGTATCCCACTTCTCCATCTTCATTGCCACGGTCCTCCTCTGGACCATGACCATTTAGCCACCACCATAGCATGTCTCAAGTGCTAATCTGACGGGTCAGTTTCCTCGACTCCCACGGTCTACAGGAGAGGGCCTGCAGTTCTAAGCATCACCACAAGGCTCTCAACAATCTCACCCTGCCCACCTCCAGCCTTAGCGCCTATTGCTGCAGCCACACCTGCCACGGCTCCTCAGGTCTCACGCTGTTCTGCATCACCTTCCTCCTTGCTTCCTCTAGGCTCTGTTTATTTAGAACACCTTCTTCTCTGTCCCCAGCCCTGACATACACACAAATAAACTGGTGCCTTATATGTGGTACCAGGGCTGCGCTTTTTGTTTTTTATTTTTATTTATTTATTTATTTATTTATTGAGACAGGGTCTTGCTATATACTTCAGGCAGGCCTTGGACTCAGTATGCAGCCCAGGCTGGCCTTCATCTCACAGCCATCCTCCTGCCTCAGCCTCCTGAGTGCTGTGATCACAGGTGTGTGCCACCACACCAGGCTCAGGACTGTGCATTTCTATGGCAACCTGTGCTCTCCTTTCATTGTGTATAGCTGCCTGTCTCTCTCACAGGTCGGACAGTTCCGTGGAGGTGAGGACGAAGCCTTACTCATCTCTGTGTCCTCAGTGCCTACAACAGAGTAGGGGCACAAAATAGGTTAGGTGCTGTCCTAAGCGCCATTATAGACCTGTTCGATTCTTGTGACGTTCTATGAGGAAGGTGTTACTATGGTTTCCATTTCACAGCTGAGGACCCTGAGACCAAGCAGCTTGTCCAAGACACACCAATCAGGAAGTAGCACAAATGAGATTTAAACACAAGCAGTCAGGCCCCATGTGTGGCTCTGAATCACTGTGCTCAACTGTGCCTCAATTTCCATGTGTTTACTGAATGAATAATGGCCCCATTTCACCTCCCTGTCTCAATACATGCACAACCAGATTAAGTAATTTTCCCCCAATTGCTTCTTACCCTCATATCTGCCTCCAGTGCTCCTCCAGGGACTCAGACTTTCACCTCTCTTCTCTCTCTTCCTCACTTTATTCATCTCAACATATCTTTGATTTGTTTGCCTTAGAAACATAAGATTAACTCCTTCCCCTCTGTTCTCAATTGCTGTCACCCTAGTCTGACTTTTCCCTTACACCAGGTGACCACAGCAGCTTCCTGACTTCACTACGTCCCTCCTTTGGGACTTCAAGGTTACATGTACTTTTTATTTAACCTATAACCTGTGAGCTAGATACCAATTATTTACATTTTAAAGGTGAGGAACTGAATGATACAGCACAGGTTCAAAAGGATTGTCTGACTCTGCCTGATCCAAAGACACTGGTGACCTTGGGTAAGTCACTTAATCTCCCATAGTCTCAGATTCCTCATTCATTAAATGTAGAGATTAAATAACAGTAATTACCTCATAGTGATAGCAACAGGGACAACACTCAGAATCCTGCTACATTTAAGTGTTCAGTGATAATCAGCAATTAAAACTCGCAATCCCCACCCAGGAAGGCCGTAGCATATTTCAAATTGACGAATCACTCTGGGAAAGTTCTTGAATCGTGGCTGAAAGGAAGTTACTATATCTGGCCTCTTTTTATCCCTCAAAAGTGCTCTCTCCTGGGAAACAGTATAGGTTGTTTTTTAAAATTACCTGAGCAGTCATTTGCAAAATGTGCTGCAAGAGAAAATACACCCCATCCCCATGAGAAGAGCACAGAATTTGTGCCTCTGCCCTGTCCAGGTATGAAACCACAGGCAATCTTGAAACCTCTCCGGATTTATTTTGTGACCTTCAAAGTGGGATCATATCATTCCCACAAGAGTATTGAGATGAATACACAGCCTTTGGTACACTGCACGACCTAAATAATGGAGTTACATGGCCTATCATGATCCGATAACGTGACTGAGGACTATTTATTGAGAAATGGAGGATAAGATGGATTTATATATCACATATTGTCAAAATCAAGTATTAGAAGCAAAGGAAAGGTAAAAGGATTATACAGATCTAGTACAGCTACCACTTTCCAAAACCCGCTTGCTCTCCTCCCTCAAGCCTGAGCAGCGAGGTAGAGAACTCCCCCATCTTCTCCAGAGTCTCGCCCCCTCCCCGTCCCGCGTGACGTCTTTCCCTAGGCTCCGCCCAGTGGGCGGAGCCTATCGGGGCACGTCCGCAAGGTTGCGGAAGTGGAGCAAGGAGTCTCGTTTGTGATTGGCTGAGGCCGAGGGCCCAGGGGGCGGGGGCAGGCCGACGGACGCGCCGAGAAGAGGCAGTCAAGGGGCCAGAGCCCGAGTGAGATACGGTCTGAGGTGCTGACCAAGCGCTGGACCAGCAGCCGTCCGGGCACCCTGGCCTGAGCGCACTCGTGCCGCTCTGGGTCCTCCTGGCGGAGACGCAGAAGGCCAGTGAGTGAGCGGAGGAAGGCCAGGAGGGCGCGAGCGCCTTGTGCGCGGAGCAGCGGAGGCTGCCGGGGGCCCGGACGCCATGTCCATGGAGGACCCCTTCTTTGTGGTGAAGGGGTGAGTGTTGGTCGAGGGCTCCACTGGAGGGAGGAGTGGCGGTGCTGGCTGCGGTCACCTCCCCCGTCTCCTCCTGTAGGGGGAGGGGAGGCAAGTTGAGGTTGGAAGGGGACGGGGAGAGGGCTTAGCCCCGAGGGCCTTGACCAAGCGCCCAGACACCCTGTCCCGGTCCTGCCTGAAGTGTGAAGCCGAGGCCTCTCACCGACCCCCCGGTCCAGGTGCCCTTTTGGCCTTAGAGGTGCAGTACAACTTATTTTGAGGTGGAGGGGTTCAGTAGCTCTGCAGGTGGGGAAGGAGGACCGGCGCTGTCCTCGGGCTCAGGACCTTGCCTCCAAGGAGGCAAAACAGCATCTGGGCAGGAAAAGGGAAATGACCTTTTTGAGCTTTGTAGTTGGCGTGGACGCGGGTGCGCTCCATTGTCCATAGAGTTTGGAGAGCTCGCCCGCATACTGTTGAGACCACAACATGCCCGAAGGCGTCTGAGCTCGTTTGCTGGAGGCGGGCGGGGGCGGGTGCTGATCTGGAAGGCTGGGGAGCCGGGCGCCGGAAGACAGCTCAAGTCTGTGCATTGGGGGGAGAGTTACTGACTGATGTGAGGGAAGGAAAGCAGTCCTTCATGCGCGGTGCTGATGTTGGAAGGAAAACAAAATGAAACCAGCCAAACTAAACTTTGCTGGGCTTTCTGTGAGCAACTGGGATTTTCCCACGGTGCTAAAAGGAAATGTTTTTCTTTTTAACTCCTTGACTTCGTACAGGTTTCTTGACAGGTTTCCCCTACTACTACTGCCTTTCCGAATTGGGAGCTCTCCTGATTCTTTGATTGCTAGATTGGAGATGCGTAGAAACTTCAATTGCACTTTGCTGTATTATCTTTGTAGTCATTAAACTAAATGCAAGAAAGGGCAATTCTGATGTTGTAACGTATTTCTCATAACTTGCCGGCAGTATGTTTTTTAATGTCAAATGTTAAAAATCTGAGAACTGCCAAGTTCCCAGAAGATGGGTTCTAATAACCATGAAGTGTTCTTTAGCTTTTAACTAGTTGCTGTTAGCTTCCTGTTCTATAGTAGTAAAAGCTGATGAATTGTATGGGTGTTTGTTTTTGTATTTAAGGGTTCCCAGAAGTTTTAAATGTAATTCAGATGAAATATTTTATTAACCATGAAAATATATATGACTTAACATTTCCCTAAAATTGTTTTTTTCTCCTTACTGTAATTTAAACGAGAAAGTGACAAGTTGTAGATTTACTAATAATATTGGCTCTCTACCTGGAAAATATATTATTTATTAGAAGAATAAATTTAGGGGTTGATTTTTAAAATTTAAAGTTGTGTATATTTTCCTCATGAATGGATTTTTTCTTTTTTTGAGATGATTTTGCTATATATTTCAGACTGGCCTTGACCCTATTATATAGTTCAGACTGAACTTGAATTCACCATGTATCCCAGTCTGGCTTCGAAATTCCAGCGATCCTCCTGCCTCAGTCTACCCTAAGCGCTGGGATCACAGTTGTGCACCACCCAGCCCAACTTGAATGGAAGCTCTTAATGTTTAGATTATAGAGGTTATTTTGGGCACTGTAGATCAGAGATAACCAGAAATTTGCTGCTGTGGAAAGGTAAAAAACTCATGGAGTGTTTATGTGGTGGCACATTTGGAGAACCATAGACTTTTTTTGAAGAAAATATTGAAAATGCATAACAACATTGGTAAATTAAAGATGCCTAAGTAATGGCTCTTGTAGTAGAAACTTACAGTATAATCTGAAAAAGAAACTACTCCGAAATCAAATAGAAATGATGGACAGTAAATGATTAAGTGCTGACGCGAATACTACAGATGGTATGCATCCCAGGAGCTCAGAGAAAGGCTGCTCCTTAAGAATTGGTGTGATGAGAAAAGCTTTTGGAAGTAGTAGTAGTGCATCTTGAATTTGGTTTTGAAGGTAATCAGAATTTAGATAATTCAGGGTTGTCTGTTGGATCTGGGTGCTATGAAAGCCTCATAATTGGGTCTTCCTGATTCCAGTCTCTTTCCTTCATCCTTGGAACTATTTGGTCAGCACTGTCCAGTAGAAAATGCAGTGCAAGTCTCATGTCATTTTATATTTTTTTTGTAATTTCATTAGAAACAGTTGACAATTTTATTGTTTTTAATATATTCATATTATTTCAGCATGTTAATACAAAAATTTATTGAAATGTTTTACCTTTTTATAAGTTTTGTTTTGTTTTTGCTGCTGGGGATCGAACTTGGAACCTTGCGGTAGCAAGGCAGGCGGCGGAACCACTGAGCTAATCCCTGGCCACGACCTTTCCATTAGTTTTACTGTTGTATTATTTTACACTTACACAT